TCAAAGCCAACCGTAATCGGAATCTCATTTGCCACCGTCATCACTCTGAAATCAATAAAACTCTTCCGCACCTGCCTACTTCTGAGTCACATCAACAGCTGTCTTCGATGTCTTCATACTGGGAATCAGATGGCCAGTTACATGAAATTGAAATTAGGAATTCCAGGATCTTGGGAAATCACGCAGCTTTATCTACACGAATATGGTGTACACAATGAAGGTGACTGTCATATGCTTCCATGAGTTGATTGTTGGTGATCTGAATGTTTCTTCTCGAAATCTCCTGAAATATATGCATGATATTATACTCATTGTTTGTATATTTATGCTTTTGCAGTAAACCGTGTATGTTTAACACGTTTTACTACCTATGCATTGAGGTAAGTAGTTGCATACCACTGATGCTGGCTCACTTGCTGGCTGACTGTCTTGTTGGTTGTCCATCATGCTCGAATTAATTGAGAAACCATACGAGTGTTTCTTTGCCATGTAGTCAAATTCGTCAGTTGTGTACTGCGTTTCACTCAGCTCAGACACCTATAAATCGTCTCGATTCAGCCATCGATTTTAGCAAATCTTTGGGGATGTTACAGCTGGTATTTGTGTTTACTTTTTGGGATGGTTCGTAAATAAGTATTGCAGGACATTAGATGTCAAAAATTTTTCAGATAACTTATGGTTTTGTATTCTCTCTCAGTAATAAAAAGAATCATTTTTGGCGTAGACCATCACCATTTCCTTAATTCGTTCTTATTTTCACACTCACTACTGGTAGATTTTGTGTTCATTGGAACAATTCATAACCAGGATAGCTGTCACTGATATGCAGCTGTCATGCTTTAGCTGAAATATTTTAATAATTATATTTCGAACTAGATATTATGAGAGGATATTATGTCCAAACACCCGTTCCTATGTATGTTTTAACAAAATATTGTCCCTCTGGACTGCGAGTGAAACAACAAATCTTCATGTTGTTCTGTTCTTCGCAGTCATCTTGAGGTGTCTCCAAGATCACTTGTAAGCTCTCAACTCCGGAAATCACACAGCTGCCTCTCTGTTACCGCTTCAGCGTTCTCTCGAGTGATGACCTGTAGTGCACGATCTTCCGATGATATTTTCAGTGGGTCCATGATCTCACTATTTCCTACGGGATTCTTCTTGAAAGTCAGGACCTAGGTTGGTTCATTACATTTCTTGTTCATGATGACTTTTGAACGCCTGGCCACATGATCTTCATGATGGAGTCAGCGATAGCAGCTGTCGATAATAGTGTACAGCTGCCAGTTGAAAATGTAGGTGTGTGTCTCTTTTCCGGATTCTTCTTTCCACATCCTTCTCACCAGCGATTGCCTGTAGGTGCAATAATGCTTCCTAGATGAGTGAAGTAAGCGACCTCCTTCAATTTTCTCTACTGGGTAGAGATAAGGTATTTTGTCATTGTTGTCAGTTGGTAAATTGATAGAAGTCATCACCTACATCGTCTCTATGTGTTTACCTGATGTCTTGACTTTACGTTCTTTTTCTGCCAGTGTTTTAGTTTTTGCCTGTACCTCCCCTAGCTTGCTTTATTGTAGACCTAAACGATCTGCGATGTCCAGTGCTTTCAAAGTTTTCTTAACGCTCCAACTTATTCGTGTATTCTTACTCTACTATGACAACCTTCCGCATAATCCGGCCCTCCTTATTCGAGAATATCATCAGTGATTTTAGACAGAAAGCCATGTCTTGCTTCTTATCACCTTCAATTCAAAGACTTCGTTAAGTAGGCTGTCATAAATCATGTAAAATTGGCATTGTCAAACAACTGTCGGATGTTTCTGCGTTGTTTCTTCGAGAGGCTTGAGTCGTCCTCTTAGGTGGCTTTAGACAGTAACGTTTTCCAATCAATAGACAAACTTCAGTCATTCCAGATGTTTTGCAGTTGTAGTGTGAGAATGATGGCTACTGTCTCTGGATCAGATTTCAGCACATAGAGAAGAATTCTATTCCGTATTGCTGCTTTACCAGTTGGCTATCGTGTCTTGATTACATTCTGGAAATCTGCTTTTGTAAAAGGCCTGATGTCCACTAGCACTTATGCATTGGCTGTTGTTAGTGATGATATTCCTGAACAAGTTCCAGTTGGTAGCCGAGGCAAAATTAGTTTGAAGTGACCAAACCATCCTTTTATTTGCCTTTCGAGGCTGGAAATAGTCTCTTCTTGAATGTCAATTATGACATCACTTTTCTGATTCATTCTCGAATAGGCGCCTAGTTTTCTGGTGCAATGTTGTGAGGTCTATTTTTCCTCAACTTGACTGTTTTACTTCAGCTGTCAATGTGTCGCATACACTGGTGCATTATGGAAGTTAACGTAAAATCCATTGTCTTTTCTTCGTGCATCGACAGTCTTGATAAAATGAAATGAATTTTCCTGATTTGAATGGCTGCCATAAGCTGCATACAACCGAAATGATGAAGTACAATGGTAGTCACAGTGGCACAAGTTGACATAAATTTACCGAAATAAATTTTGGTATTCTTCTGCATATGCGTAATAAGAGAATCTATTTAGGTGAAAGAATACAAAGTCCACAGTATACTGGAAGCTTGAGTAACACCATTACGTTGAGAGTGCAGATGGAAAAGTATTTTCAAAGGAGGTGAGTGAGACTAAGGATAATGACGCCATCAGAAGAACAGTGTTTCTCTTTCAATTTCGTAATAAGCCATGATCCAGTCTCCTTTCTGTTCCATCACAGCAAGGTAGGTTGACAACACACACCAGACAATTGCCCAAGTGAAAGGCCAATGGGCAATAATGAGATAGGCAATTGACAGAGGCTGGCATGGAAGAGATCAGAGATTAGGAAGCAAGGGTGAGACGGGCTGAAGATGACAACAGAAAATACAACAAAATTTATGCTTGTTGTTGAAGTCCAGTTTTATACTCGGAATCGAAGGGAATAGAAACATCTAGTGATGAAATAGAAAGTGAAGAAGATAGATGGTTATATGCTACCGCTCAAATGATTAATGAACGACTATTCACTTACAAACAGCTTTTGAAACAGCGCACCAAGATAAGACGCTGGATTGGCTTGGCAGGCGCAAGAGCACATTATTTCAATAAATCTAATAAAGCTAACCAGTGTTAGTTTTCCATTTCGTTGAATGACTTCATTTCCATCGATACCTAGCAATTAAACACAATGCGTCTTTATAGACTGTCACTACACAAAATTCCATCGTGTTCAAAATATTCTCATCGTACTGTTGAAAAATTCAGTGCAAATTGTGATTTGAGTCATATGGTCATGTGTTTAGGATGTGCACCCCAACACTCCATATTTCTAGCCAACACCAACGTCTCACTATGTTCTGTCTAGTGCGACACTCAAGATAGTTTTAAGCATGCTATAGGTGCTGCTGACCCACGAAACTTGTTCTCCAAATGTTGATTATAATGCAAAGACTAGGTGGATTCAAAACTTAATCTCTGATGCAGTGAATATGAGTTTTGTCTACTTTGGAATTACTGTGAAATGATATCTACCTTATGTCACTTCAATTAGTATGATCATTATTGGTTGACATCTAGCTGAACACTTCGATGAGATTCTGCTGAATAGCAGAGTCATTTCTCCGAAACAACAATATTTCTCATTATAACCTGATGAGTTTTCTTATGAAAATGACAGCCATGTGAGTCTCATTTGATTCAATTCAATATTTAGCACAACTGACTAAGGTACATTCACTTTACTTCGAAATCTACCATACGAGGAAAACAATGAATTCCTGGAACTTCATTTATCATTGTATCCAGAGACGTAGCTGATTCGGTCGATTCGCATGTAAAAACTCACTTTGAATGGCATTTCGTTATTCTGGTTATCGTGGTAGGACTGTCTTTGGCAAAATTATTCGATTTGTTCAATTACACACACAAGTAGTTCGAGGTGAAATACTTCTTCAGTTTATTCGTTTTTGAAAGGACGGCTTTGTTGTCTACCACTACACTATTTCTCAGTTTCAACTCGTCATCTTTTCTCTGCATCTATTCGTGGGGTGTTTTTGGTGTGGATTTTATTTATCGTGAAGCATTCGGACTTTAAATCCCAGCGAGAATATCTTCCAGTGTCAGCATATTAACTTGATGCAGTGTGCATTGATAATGACACTAATCATTAGACTGTCGGAGAGTTAACAGACACACACGGATTCACACAAAAGAGGGAATGATACGAATCTCCAGTCTCGTGTTGTGTAATCACCTCCATTACATTTACGGGGGAGCTAGACTGCAGATTGAACTGAAAACAAAGTTAATTCTCTGCGTACAAATCATCCCACCACTTGTTTCAGGCACATACACTTACAACACCGGTAATCCTTTCATTCGTACTGTCGACTGTATAGATATTGGAAAATGAAGGTTGACGGAAATGTTCAGCTTCTGTTGATATGTCGGCGTCTTCTTGTACGGACGCTTCGACAGTGTGAATGTCAAGTAACTTTGTCGGACGGTGACTAGCAGTGTAATCTAATCGACCATGCGTCTTTCGCTTTATTTAGGACTCATCGTCTAGATGTAACAGTATGTGTTGCTTTCCCAAATGAGGCTCAGACTAAGAACTCATCGTTTCAAACGTGAAATTGTTATTCACTACAACACACAGGCCACAATAGTCACCATATGTCTTGCAACCGGCATCAGGCAAATCGTTGATTCCACAGCTAGTTACCATCCACCAAAATGATACGAAATTATAGATATGACCGTGTTAAATAAATAAGATAACTTTATCTTTGAAATGCCCAGATAGAAACAGTAATTACCTAATTCAGTTTAATTCAACTTTAACTGAATTATGGTTTATCACACAAAAAACATAAGCAAACAGATTCAGTCGAATTCTGATTGGTTAGTGGAAGTGACCAATGAATGGAATAGTGTCATGTTTTAGTAGTATAAATAGTCCAATAAAATATGCTATCATTGTCAAGCTAGTTGGTGACTATTCAGTACAAATTGCGAGTAAGTTCCAGTAGCATAATTATTTTTATGATACGATGTTTCATATGTATTTGACGTTTGAGAACGATTCACATTCTTGTTACCGAAGCACAATATATATATATATATGTATGAATGTTGCTGAGATGGTTACTGAACAGTCTTTTCCCAACTAACTCAAGCCTCATACCAGCGCATTCATAAGTTGAAATTATTCATATCTAATACTGCGCAGAGGAAAACTCGAAGAAAGCATACCTTAATTAATCTGAACATGCACTGCTGATTATAGAAAAGAATAGGTGAAGCCACTTACAAAGTACTCCCGTTACTACCCTAGTATTTTAGTGTTCTGTCTGTTTACTGTGAGATCCTATTTGATCAGCCTGTTTCACAAATTTTCGACATCGTATCAATTACATGATAGGTACTTCAAAATAGTTATTAAGTACTCTTGCTCTAGAAATCTCAACCGAGTGTGTCAACACCGAATATTCTATCTTCCCTCATTTAATAAACTGACTTTGGTGTTCTTTAAACAAATCAATCGCGAAACCTAGATATTGTGTCTGTCCAGTGAAGATACCATCTGTTGATGTTACTTCTCGAAGTTCAGGTTGAGATTGTAAAATTCTCGCATGGATTCGTGGTAGTAATCCAATGGAGTTATTGCATACTTATATTTTGTTGGCAACATTGCGAATCTGTTTCATTGGTTGCTCTCTTTAGACTTTTGTTTAAATTCACAATGAAATATATTATCCCATCTGGAATAACAGTAAAGTCATGTGTCTCCAGTGTTGTTCATCCATCGTTAGATAATCCATGCAAGCCACTATATACGAGTTCAGTTACGGAAGGACCGATTGCTTCCATGTGGCTAAGGATGTCGTTGTGCGGTCAGTAAGATTTTTGTTTTTGTCTCAAGCTGTTCGACTACACTCTGTACTAAATTTGATTAATTCTTCACATTGCTCAGTCGACAAGTGGCTGGCAGAGATTCTTTGACTTGGTTAAGGTGCAGTTTGTCGACTGACTGAGTTGTTTTTGAAAATCCTCATCTTAATCTCTATGCCCGAGCATAGTGTGGCGACTGGCCCTTTTCAGGTAGGTTGATAATTACCTGAGATTTCAGTGGAAAGTCGTGACCAGTAGGATGTAACTGGTTGGGTGTGAGAACAAATACTCGCCGAAGACATTGGCTAGCGGTTGCGCTATATCGTGAATTGGCAGAAGTTAAAATTCATGAGCCATTGGATTAGGTCCTAGTGACCTAATGGTATACGAGCTTGCCTTGTAACCAGAAGGTCCTGTGTTCGAATCCCAGTGGGTGCATTCTGCTAAAGAGTCCCGAACCAGGACGAAACAGGTGTCCAGTACTCCAAGGTTTTCCAATGGCTCTCTAACTGATGTCAGCTCATGATGAAATCCTGTAACCGATAGTTAGGAAGATTTAAGAATTAACTTGAAATTTGAGCATTAGAATTTTCTGAATAGATTTGACTTTGACATTCTCATATGTTTTAACTGCCTGTTGCTGTAACGATGATGTGTAGATATGTAAAGGAAGTGACATCTTCCAAATGTATTCCCCTGAAAGTGTTTGGTATGTTTTCTCTTGATGGCTGGTTAGTTGTTTAGTTATCCTTTATCTTTGTTTGGTTAGGTGGTTGTTATCCATTTTGTCCATATTCACTTGATGTCCGATGTCCACTGCCTGATTATTCTACTAGTTGGTTCATATTGGCGACAATAGCACTAATAGTCCTACCTAACGAGTCACATAATACACTGTGAATTATGTTGTTTTCTCAAAGAGACTGTGGTGAAATTTCTCCTCGTCGAACTGTGTAGAACTGGCTAGCGAATTTCACTTATTCCACAGTCGAATCGATCAGCATCCCACAAGTAATCCACACACTTGTTTACAAAGTGCAGCCTAGTCTGAAACATTCACAGTCAGTTTGATTCATGAATCCGTTTTTTGCATGGATTAATCATTGTAAGGTCACTTGCGTTTCCGGGACATTGATCGAGTTCAAACCTAAATGGATATGTTTTTGGGTCTCACGATGAAATAGAGCAAATGTCGTGAGTTGGAGATGGTGTGCGTTGAAGAATATGCCAGGTATTAGTGGAGATGTGAGATAATCGTTATTAAAAATACTGTGCTGAGAATGGCTGCAGCAAATAGGACAAAGCGGAGAAATGCTGTTGAACCAGTATATTCCACTTGCAACATGAAGGAACAGATCATTCATTTCAAAATACATCAAAATTAAATGTCATCATTTTCTTATTTTATTATACATTTTTCAGTAAAATGGTGTACCAGAGGACAAAATTCAACCTCATCATACTCGTCAGTCTGTGCATATTCGGTATTATGAGGATTGAATCAGTTGATCATGTGCTTCCGATGACAGTTGATGATTCAGGTAATTCGAATTTATTCTACATATGTAAATAAGTGAATCAAAAATGATTGTATCCGAACTCCACTTTCGAGCAAATCCTTTCTTGGAAGTGATTATACTTCGCACTGACTGACTGACTCACTGACTGACAGAACTGACCTACCACTAGATGAAGTTACCTGGAATTCTCCTTACAGTTTCTGACCACTGTGAGAACATATATTTACCATTGATGATATTGGATAGCGGGTGTGTTATATATTGCGAACGAGCATAGGTTAGAATTCATAGGTCACTGGACGCTGTCCAAGTGCATGAACAGCCAGTGAGATCATCTCGTCAACTGAACGTTTCTCGATTCATCCCTAGCAGTGCAATGTGTGCAGCCTGCTGAAGAGCCTGAAACTACGACCAACTGACAGTCCTGTAATTCTCGTTTTTCAACTGTCCTCCAAGTAATAATACTTCATGATTCGTACAAGGTTATCTGACAATCTGAGAATGTTTCTTCTTATTAGGTGAGTTGGTTTTCCCGGCCAACAGCTTTCTGATAATTCCGAGTGCCATGTGATCCACCATGGGTAGCTTAGTGAAGCTTGCCTTTGAAGTGAAGACAGCAGCAAGACGAGACTACCTGCTTGCTTTCAGCGATGATATTACTCATTGTGGTGGACCGGATAATGAGAGAGGCAGGAGTGTTTTGTGTGATAAGATGGAAATAGGCTGGACAAAAATGAACAGTCTGCAATTCGAGACGGATTGTTTATGCTTAGTGTAACATAAACTCCAAGGCATACAGGCGAATACCAAAAGGCCGGCAAGATCACCAGGCAGAGAATACATGAACTATAGTGAGGAGAAAGAGGAGGAAGGTGATATAGATAAGCATTTGACTAACGACAACAAGAATCATCCATAAATAGGTCACTTCATTTACTTATTTGGCTACGCAGCGTCCTTTCAACTCCATCAGGTGCCATCTTGCCTCATCATTGCTTCGCTGGTCATTTTTATGTTTTGTATCTTACGCAGTATATAGTTGAAGTTGTGATATATCACACATTGTTATTTCACACCCAATGCACAGACCAGCTGACTTAGTATCAAACTCCCATCCACCAACTTTGTTTAGTTTAAGTGTGTGTTAGGCACATTGGCCAACGATTCGGCTCATTGTCTCTCGTATGATGTGAAAACAATCAGAGTGGGTCACTCTATAAACTCCGAATATTTCTTTATTTCAACTTCAAAATGTTCCTTATTAATATGAAGGCGAATCCACTGCAATGCTGCGAATTCTTCCAACACGTCGTCTGCTGCAGACGGAGCAGGATAAAATAAAACCTTTCTATTTCGTCAGTAAATTGTCGACCTGGATAGTGGAGACATATAGTTGGAAATACTCACCACAGGGATATTAAAGGTAGAATAACACAAAACTCAGTGGAGGGGATTTAATCCTCTCAAATTCAACAAGCACATTAGTTCATGTAAATATACTTTTCCTTTGATAGTGAAATACTTCAACTCACAAAAGTTAGTTTGTGGGGACTTGGGTTGCCTCAAGAGGCACAGGAGACTGACACGATTTTGGAGCACCATTGAAAGCTATGCGTCACTAATGCGCAGCTGCATCGTCAGTCTAGTTTGAGACATATTGGGAGTACGTACCCGTCAAAGCGGTTTGAAATCAGCACCTTCAGGTGACAATGCAAGCTAGGTCATAAACCATTCAGCCACAGCCGTCCGACTAAACAAACTAACAATAGTAGCTTTCTTCCACCTAGGTTCGAATTCATTTGCGTGCGCGCTACTCATCAGTTGCAAACTACGATGAGACAGCTGGCTGTTCAGCTCTCCTTGTTGATTTCCAATGCTTCTCTAACTCACGTATATCCTTGATGAAACTTGATACTTCAATTCACGCAAGAAAGAAATAATAAATAAAAATTAGGTGAATATATCATTTAGTCGTATTGTAGGTCGGTGTGGATGATTGTTACAAGGATAAATGTACCTCAGTTGAAATGTCTGAAAATATGAAACACGTATCGTGGGTGGAACTGTAATGTTTCCGACTTCTAAAGTCACTTGGACAGTCAGGTGTTTGGATTCACTGATTTGATTATCCTAACGCTTGATGACCAGAAAACTACAGTTGCAAATTTCTTTCCAAATTTCTATTGAGAAAGCATAGAGATAGGTGTTCGTCAGATTCAGCATGAGACCAGATTTTCACCGATGATTTTCTTCAGTAGTTACACGATCTGTTGTGAAATGAAAGGACTGAGAATCTATGGTATTCTAAGTGTTGTCTCGATGCCGCGAGACACAACGAGACTGCCTCGTTACTGAAATGTCCTAATTTACTTCACACTGGTATATTTCTGGAGTAGTCCCCTCCAAAAGAGGTTGACTATTCTGTATTCAACATAAATTCTCACTATTAATTCTTTTCTCGGAAGTGTAAAAATTAGGATGAGAAGGACGCCCCTCCAGTGGCTTGGCTTATTAAATCTGTATGATGCTTAAATATTTATATGGTATCCATGCATTAACAGACATCGGCTGATATAAAATGAATGGCAATTTAGCGTGGAAACAAATTCTGTATTAGTTACAGATATGAATTATTGACTTACAAATTATCATTGCTGATGTCTACCGAGTGAATTTCAGAGCTCCAATTCTCATGAGATAATCATTATTATTTCACTTCAATAATAATGAAGTTAGTCTATCTGTAAGGATTTCAAATCTTTTTCTCAAAACATCCAATACGTTTTTGTTTTCGTTTTCAGGAGTAGGAACTGTGAATTTCTTCGGTCTCAACTTTACTTTGAGGGAAAACTTGACAGTTACACTTCAAGGTTACAAATGTACATGGACAGTTGACTTGTCACAACCGGATCAAGATGAGCTAACAGTTAAACGAGGAAGTCGTAAAGGGGATTTGTGAGTCTTCTTTCACAAGTGATTAATTTGTGTTCTGGAGCTATATAATGAAAATTACACTTTAATTATTTGATAATGATAGCATAAATATCCTCATCTTATTCCCAAGTATACTATGTACATTTTCAAAAAGAGCCTTCTCTTCCATGGAAAATGGAGGACTATTTGTGTCTCTATTGCTTTGTGCGTACATTATGTAATGAACGGTTTTGTAGTGACCTTGACAAAATTTTGTACATTAGGCGATTATTATTATTAATATAATGTCCTTTCGTTCCTAGAGGAACATAGGGCTGCAGCTGTGCACCTCCATTGCCTTCGGTTTTCAGGCAACATTTTCACCCCGCTCCAAGTCTGCCCACATGCTTTCATCTTCTCCTCACATGACCTCCTCCAAATCACCCTCACACTGACGACCAACTTGCCGCTTTCTCTTTCGGGTTCCACTCGAGCGATGGCCTGTCTAGTGATGTCACTTGATGGATTCCTCAGAGTATGGCCAATCCATCTCCATTTATTCCTTCCTATTTGTTTTACAATAGGTCCTTGGTTGGTTCCCCCATTGCCAGAGATCCCTGTTGCTGACCTTTTCCGGTCGGCCATCTGATCTTGAGTACTGAGCGAAGACAACTGGCAATGAAGGTCTGAAGTTTGTTTGAGATGCTGTTTAATACTCACCAGGTCCCTGATCCGTATAATAGCACTGACTGACTTCACATTGTAGTTGAAAATCTGGATGTTATTTTTGATGTTGAGTGCTGTTTACTTCCACACAGACTTGAGAGTAATGAAAGCTTGTCTTGCTTTTCCGATTCCGGCTTTGATATCCTCATCAATTCCACCTGTAGTTGAAACGATGCCTCACAGGCAGGTAGGTGAAGGAGGTTGTTTCTTTCAGGTTCCTCCCATTTATGTTGGCTAATTATTGTCTGTTGTTGTTGTTGTTGTTGATGTTCACCAAGAATCTTTCTTACCACTGTTTTATCTATGTTCACTTGAAGTCCTATGTTTTCTGGATGCTTCTTCTGCCAACTTGTTGCTTTTCACTCGCAAATATTCTACCTTGTGTGAAATCGGACAAATATAGTCGACAAGTCCCGTTGTGGATTACTTGGCATGCAGCATTGTCGTAAAGCTGTTGGATGAGATGTATAATTGTCGATGGAACCCCGTAGTAGCCAAGTAGTTGCCAAATCACCCCCCAATTGACGCTGTCGAAGGCCTTTCCAAAGTCGACGAAGTTGAGATAGAGAGGTGACTGCCATTCCAAGCTTTGTTCAATGATGATCCGTAGAGTGGCGATTTGATCAATACATGATTTGTTTCTCCTGAATCCAGCCTGTTCCGGACGAAGTTTTTCATCTAGGGCTTGTTTGATTCTCTCCAGGATAATGAGGCTTAGTGACTTAAATCTCCTTTCTTTGGCAGTTTGAATAAGTATCCGTTCTTCCAATACTCAGGTACTTTGCCCTCTTTACACACCTTCTCCAGCAGTGGCGTCATCAAGTCCACTGTTGTCTCTGGGTATATTTTCAAAGCTTCTGCTGGGATTCCATCTGGTACTGGTGCTTTCCAAGCTTTGAGCATCTTGATTGCATTCAGGACTTCTGGTTTCGTCGAGAGTCAATGTTCACTAGTAGGTCTGCTTCCGTTGTTGGTATTGTTGGTATTGGTAGGCGCGTTGTAGGTGGCGGACGGTTTAGAAGTCTTTTGAAGTGTCCAGCCCAGTGCTTTCTCTGCTCCACCTCTTTCGTGATTGACTTTACATTGTCTTCCTTTATTGGCTCAGTCTGTGTCGAACTTTTGTCCGATAGGTTCCTAGTTGCTTGGTAGAGTGTGGCGAGGTCTCTTTTGCCTGCAGCATATTCTGCTTCACTTGCCATGGCTTCATAATATTTTCTTTTGTCTTCCCTGGCACTCTTCTTCACTCTTTTGTTAAGTGTATTGTAGCTTGCATTCAGCTCCTAATTTTGTTGCTCGTCAGTGCACTGGATAATCTTTTGTTTCACTGTCCTTCTCTCTTCTGTTAGTTTCCAAGTGTCCGTAGTGAGCCACTGTTTGTCCTGCCTCTTCTTTCTGTCTGGAACTTCCATGCAGGTTTGTCTCCACACCGTTTTCAAGTTGTCCGAGTGCTTTTCGACGCCGACCTTTTCGCCGGTGTTGATTTGTGTCTCGGCTTTGCCCTTTATGCATGTAATCAAGATGTCCTTTGTAGCCTGGTCCTTCAGGTTTTGAGTGTTCAACTTGGTTTGTGGTCTATCTGCAGCTCCTGTTTCCCTGAAAGCTTTTAATTTGATTTGGATTGTCCCTTGTACGAGATAGTGGTCTGAGCCAACGTCTGCTCCTCTTCTTGCTTTTGTGTCCAGTAGGCTGCGCCTCCACTTCCTTGAGCAGTATTGAGATGAAGTCAATTCGGCTTTTGGTTTGCCCGTCTGGTGACACCTATGTAGCCTTGTGTATATGTTTGTGCTTGTATACACTGCCACTAAACACTAGTTCTTCGAAGGCGCAGAAGTCGGCGAAGAGTTCTTTATTTTCATTCATTTCTTCGAGAGCTTCTCTACCCACGATGAGTTCTCTTATTGTGTTTCCTGGTCCTAGTTTGGCGTTGTTCATTGTTGCCTGTAGTTGTCTGAAGAATTCTTCTTTCTTTTCGAGGTGTGCGTTGTTCGTGGGTGCATAACATTGTATGATTGACACTTTCCTCCCTTTGGAGTTGAATCTGGCGGTCATTATCTTGGACGAAATCGCCTCCCATTGCATCAGGGCTTTCGTTGCCGTTGGTGACATCATGATAGCCACGCCTTCGGTGTGCGTGTGGTTATCTTCTAGGTGAACGGAGTAGATCACTGACTCACTCGTTGGCGATTTGGTGAGTCCACTCCCATTCCATCTGCTCTCACATATTCCCAGTACTTGGATTCCGTATCTTTTCATCTCGTTTGCGATTTGGGCAGCTTTCCCAGTCTCGTACATAGTTCGGACGTTCCATGCCCCCACACGGACTTTTTCTTTTGGTGCAAATAGGTTCATCGTGCTAAAGTTTCTGTAGCAATTTTGTTTACAGGGTGAGGTTGCTAGCCTCACGCCTGAGAAAGGAATGGTTACATTAAGATAAAATTTAGGGAGAATCGACCCTGTGGGTTGCTCCTCATAAAATCGGAAAACAAGGGATAAAACAATCAGAACAACAGCAGCAAAACGAAAACAATTCACAGCAAAAAAGGCAAAAAGCGACAAAAGCAATACAATACAACAACATGCAGTATTGTTCAGCACAAATAACTAAAATGATATCAAAACCATAGACTCACTGACTTGGGACAACTTGAACACATAAATCCAACAATATATACAAATATAGGTGTGAGTTATTGGTAAAAGTCACAAAATGTCAAAATCTTTGTTATAGGTATTAGTAGTCGATGATATTATATCCAGAGTTTATATTAACAATATCAATAACAGCAACAGGCGATTATGATAATAATAACAGCAAGGTAAGAAGTGAATGCATGGATTACGATTTGGTTTCATAAATTCACTCGGTTACGCAGAGTTAGTTACCCTTGTCGGAAAACAACATAATCTTTCGATATGAGAACACTATCATTCATTGCTAACTAGAAGTAATATGCCCAAACTTGATCTACTATCCTGATTTCTATATTCGTTTAGGGTGATCTTCCATATTCTGACGAGATAATTTCAATTCAGTATGCCGATGACCTGACGACCTCCGTCCTAATAGCCTCTGCATATAAATAGTTTCTTACCTGAGATCAACAAATTGTCTCACACAAAAGGGCTTGAAACTAAGGCCATCTCAATGTCATACAATTTGTTCATTTCGGATTCAGATGTGAACAGGACTTGGGTGGATGGATTGTTTTAATATTGACGGCAGTGAGTAAGAGAGTTAAAAGAACACCTTACACATTGGCAGCTGTTTCTTTTCGAATGTCAGTTGGTTGTCCTATGTGGATTCTTGAGGAAACATTTCCTTTTGCTTATTACGTAAGGCAGTTGAAACATTCCACTGGTCTTACTCAACTTCTTTCATGAGAATTTATTAACTCATATATTTCACCGATACTTCTTCGTTGTTTACTGCATCTACTCTTAAATGGACATCTCAAAATCATATCAAATCATATCCCGTAGAAGGTTATAGTCTGTAATTTGGGTTGTCGGTATACTGAATTTGACTTCGTCAAATGAGATTCAATTCTTGCAAGTAGTCTGCTGAATTTATCTCGACTGGCATTCATGCAATTTTACTTGAATCACTACAAGGATGAAAATAGCAGAAACCTTGTAAGTAATTGTGTTCCTGTGAACAAGAAAATCTCAACTAATCTATAGACAGCACTGGTTTTCTTGAAGAGCGAAATGTTCGAAAATAACTTTTAGTCAGCAGATGCATTTCAAAATGCTTTTTAGGTGGCTTCAATATCATAGGATCTCATCCACTCCGAACACGCTTAACTATGCACAGCCTACCACGTTAACGATGAGAGATAGCCTGGTGTGTTACCACTCGACGATCACTACTGCACCTGTCCAGTCCATCACCTTTCTGTTGGACAAATTCGTTTGGCAACATATCCTTTCGTTGTGTCAGACGTAATTACCTCGGTTCAGGATGAACACCACTAGAATTAACACTTTTTCATCAGACGCTTACACAATTGCTTGTAATGCTGGAGGTAGTACACGAATACTATACGACCCATTATTGAAGATTGTATTCATCAAAAATGATTCTGATTTGTATTCATGACTTGATTGTCATCTTTCGTTTCCTCCCTCATTCTCTAGGTGGTGTAAACATTGGGATAACAACAACACGATGAGCCATACGAACAAAGTCGAGTGAATGCATGACATGGAGACAGTCAAGCATAGTGTGTGGATGTGTGTGGCAAAATTGCACTCCATACTCATTGTGTAACTGAAAAATTCTTCCACCTGTGCTTATTCAAATACTTTGCTTAGATATTACTAAATCCAGTACGCTTCACTTTCTGAATACTCAGTATCCTTCTTCTTCCTCCTTCTGTAGATTAGTTCTTCTCTAATAAATGTATATTCATAAACTCCTTTCGTGTTGCGTAACAAATGTGAAGTGTTCATTTATGATGAGACATTGATTGAATAATAAATTTAAATGTGGAGTGTGTCACTGGTTTCGAGTTGTCGTTTGTCACAAGCTGAAATATACTTTAAGGAACTGTTGTAGAGCGGGGAGAACCCGACATTCCCATTGCATTGAGTAGTCGCATACACAATTAGTGCGTGTGGCAGCCGATTCGATGTTTCCAGATTTCAAGAATAGTCCCAACGCAGACGTGTCAATGGAAGCAAAATACACAGTTACGTGAAGAGGCTCTTCTCAGTGAGCGCATTTCACTCTTAAACTGTACAAGCACATTTATACACAATTTCGTTTCTCATGAAAGCGGATAGTAACAGAAGTGATGAGTGATCGCAATCTTAGTTGTTGAAATTAGTAAATGTATAAGAAGAACGGAGTAAGTGATTTTGAGTTAAGCATCAAAATGATAAATTCAGCACGTGAGACGTGATCACGATGCGAATGGAAACGAAGGCGAAAATCGTATTTTGTGAGAGTGAGTTGTCCAGAAATACCATAGTAACGAAAGCCGTCAAAGCAAAACATTAACAGGATTCGGTTGTGTGGGATACCACAAGGTTACAACCAAGATAGTCGAATTGGTCGAATAATATCCTTTTGTATTCATTGCTCAGGTTTCTAAAATTGAATGGCGAAATCTTGAGTCCAAAGCATGTTGCCCTCGTTAGGTAGTTCTTCACTTCCTCGGTGTAAGTTGAAATCACTTGATGCTTGTGTCATTTAGGCCGATGTCTTTCCAGGTCGGTGCCTTAAACCACCACCTTACACCATTAAATCGATCCGCACTGACATTACGTTTCTACACCAATCACATTCAATATGGAATCATACGACATAGAAACAAACACACCACATAACGAGATAAATACAGTGTCTTATCTACAACAAATCTTCTGCCTTATCCAAGACTATCTAAGCAACACCAGATGCATTTTGTCGAAACATTCAATTACATTTGGAGAGGAGTTTTCTGTTCATTTGAAGGTCATTTTTCACTAATCGACTGTGCAAAATAGACCCTCGAAAACTATGTTGACCTGAACCTTTCACATGTCTTACTTTAAGATTGTGTTTGTATACACTGCCACTAATCTCTAGTTCGTTGAAGGTGCAGAATTCGGCGAAGAGTTTTTTATTTTCATTCATCTCTTCGAGAGCTTCTCTACCCACGATGAGTTCTCTTATTGTGTTTCCTAGTCCTAGTTTGGCGTTGTTCATTGTTGCCTGTAGTTGTCTGAAGAATTCTTCTTTCTTTTCGAGGTGTGCGTTGTTCGTGGGTGCATAACATTGTATGATTGACACTTTCCTCCCTTTGGAGTTGAATCTGGCGGTCATTATCTTGGACGAAATCGCCTCCCATTGCATCAGGGCTTTCGTTGCCGTTGGTTACATCATGATAGCCACGCCTTCGGTGTGCGTGTGGTTATCTTCTAGGTGAACGGAGTAGATCACTGACTCACCCGTTGGCGATTTGGTGAGTCCACTCCCATTCCATCTGCTCTCACATATTCCCAGTACTTGGATTCCGTATCTTTTCATCTCGTTTGCGATTTGGGCAGCTTTCCCAGTCTCGTACATAGTTCGGACGTTCCATGCCCCCAAACAGACTTTTTCTTTTGGTGCAAATAGGTTCATCGTGCTGAAGTTTCTGTAGCAATTTTGTTTACAGGGTGAGGTTGCTAGCCTCACGCCTGAGAAAGGAATGGTTACATTAAGATAAAATTTAGGGAGAATCGACCCTGTGGGTTGCTCCTCATAAAATCGGAAAACAAGGGATAAAACAATCAGAACAACAGCAGCAAAACGAAAACAATTCACAGCAAAAAAGGCGAAAAGCTACAAAAGCGATACAATACAACAACATGCAGTATTGTTCAGCACAGTTAACTAAAATGATACCAAAACCGTAGACTCACTGACTTGGGACAACTTGAACACATAAATCCAACAATATATACAATTATAGGTGTGAGTTATTGTTAAAAGTCACAAAATGTCAAAAACTTTCCTATAGTTATTAGTAGTCGATGATATTATATCCAGAGTTTATAATAACAATACAATAACAACAATATGCGATTATAATTTCAATTCAGTATGCTGATGACCTGATGACCTCCGTCCTAATAGCCTCTGCATATAAATAGTTTCTTACCTGAGATCAACAAATTGTCTCACACAAAAGGGCTTGAAACTAAGGCCATCTCAATGTCATACAATTTGTTCATTTCGGATTCAGATGTGAACAGGACTTGGGTGGATGGATTGTTTTAATATTGACGGCAGTGTGTAAGAGAGTTAAACGAACACCTTACACATCGGCAGCTGTTTCTCTTCGAATCTCAGTTGGTTGTCCTATGTGGATTCTTGAGGAAACATTTCCTTTTACTTATTACGTAAGGCAGTTGAAACATTCCACTGGTCTTACTCAACTTCTTTCATGAGAATTTATTAACTCATATATTTCACCGATACTTCTTCGTTGTTTACTGCATCTACTCTTAAATGGACATCTCAAAATCATATCAAATCATATCCCGTAGAAGGTTATAGTCTGTAATTTGGGTTGTCGGTATACTGAATTTGACTTCGTCAAATGAGATTCAATTCTTGCAAGTAGTCTGCTGAATTTATCTCGACTGGCATTCATGCAATTTTACTTGAATCACTACAAGGATGAAAATAGCAGAAACCTTGTAAGTAATTGTGTTCCTGTGAACAAGAAAATCTCAACTAATCTATAGACAGCACTGGTTTTCTTGAAGAGCGAAACGTTCGAAAATAACTTTTAGTCAGCAGATGCATTTCAAAATGCTTTTTAGGTGGCTTCAATATCATAGGATCTCATCTACTCCGAACACACTTAACTATGCACAGCCTACCACGTTAATGATGAGAGATAGCCTGGTGTGTTACCACTCGACGATCACTACTGCACCTGTCCAGTCCATCACCTTTCTGTTGGACAAATTCGTTTGGCAACATATCCTTTCGTTGTGTCAGACGTAATTACCTCGGTTCAGGATGAACACCACTAGAATTAACACTTTATCATCAGACACTGACAGAATTGCTTCTAATCCTAGAGGTAGTACATGATTACTATACGACCCATTATTGAAGATTGTATTCATCAAAAATGATTCTGATTTGTATTCATGACTTGATTGTCATCTTTCGTTTCCTTCCTGTTTCTCTAGGTGGTGCAAACATTGGGATAACAACAACACGATGAGCCATACGAACAAAGTCGAGTGAATGCATGACATGGAGACAGACAAGTATAGTGTGTGGATGTGTGTGGTAAAATACACTCCATACTCATTGTGTAACTGAAAAATTCTTCCAACTGTGCTTATTCAAATACTTTGCTAAGATATTACTAAATCCAGTACGCTTCACTTTCTGAATACTCAGTATCCTTCTTCTTCCACTTTCTATAGATTAGTTCTTCTCTAATAAATGGATATTCATAAACTCCTTTCGTGTTGCGTAACAAATGTGAAGTGTTCATTTATGATGAGACATTGATTGAATAATAAATTTAAATGTGGAGTGTGTCACTGGTTTCGAGTTGTCGTTTGTCACAAGCTGAAATATACTTTAAGAAACTGCTGTAGAGCGGGGAGAACCCGACATTCTCATTGCATTGAGTAGTCGCATACACAATTAATGCGTGTGGCAGCCGATTCGATGTTTCCAGATTTCAAGAATAGTCCCAACGCAGACGTGTCAATGGAAGCAAAATACACAGTTACGTGAAGAGGCTCTTCTCAGTGAGCGCATTTCACTCTTAAACTGTACAAGCACATTTATACACAATTTCGTTTCTCATGAAAGCGGATAGTAACAGAAGTGATGAGTGATCGCAATCTTAGTTGTTGAAATTAGTAAATGTATAAGAAGAACGGAGTAAGTGATTTTGAGTTAAGCATCAAAATGATAAATTCAGCACGTGAGACGTGATCACGATGCGAATGGAAACGAAGGCGAAAATCGTATTTTGTGAGAGTGAGTTGTCCAGAAATACCATAGTAACGAAAGCCGTCAAAGCAAAACATTAACAGGATTCGGTTGTGTGGGATACCACAAGGTTACAACCAAGATAGTCGAATTGGTCGAATAATATCCTTTTGTATTCATTGCTCAGGTTTCTAAAATTGAATGGCGAAATCTTGAGTCCAAAGCATGTTGCCCTCGTTAGGTAGTTCTTCACTTCCTCGGTGTAAGTTGAAATCACTTGATGCTTGTGTCATTTAGGCCGATGTCTTTCCAGGTCGGTGCCTTAAACCACCACCTTACACCATTAAATCGATCCGCACTGACATTACGTTTCTACACCAATCACATTCAATATGGAATCATACGACATAGAAACAAACACACCACATAACGAGATAAATACAGTGTCTTATCTACAACAAATCTTCTGCCTTATCCAAGACTATCTAAGCAACACCAGATGCATTTTGTCGAAACATTCAATTACATTTGGAGAGGAGTTTTCTGTTCATTTGAAGGTCATTTTTCACTAATCGACTGTGCAAAATAGACCCTCGAAAACTATGTTGACCTGAACCTTTCACATGTCTTACTTTAAGATTGTGTTTGTATACACTGCCACTAATCTCTAGTTCGTTGAAGGTGCAGAATTCGGCGAAGAGTTCTTTATTTTCATTCATTTCTTCGAGAGCTTCTCTACCCACGATGAGTTCTCTTATTGTGTTTCCTGGTCCTAGTTTGGCGTTGTTCATTGTTGCCTGTAGTTGTCTGAAGAATTCTTCTTTCTTTTCGAGGTGTGCGTTGTTCGTGGGTGCATAACATTGTATGATTGACACTTTCCTCCCTTTGGAGTTGAATCTGGCGGTCATTATCCTGGACGAAATCGCCTCCCATTGCATCAGGGCTTTCGTTGCCGTTGGTGACATCATGATAGCCGCGCCTTCGGTGTGTGTGTGGTTATCTTCTAGGTGAACGGAGTAGATCACTGACTCACCCGTTGGCGATTTGGTGAGTCCAC